GAGGCCCGGGAAGGTGGGGAGGGCGTGGGATGGGACCAATTGCCCCCCAGGTCCTAAAGTCAGTGAGTGGTTGAACCAGAACTAGACTTGAGAAAACATTCCAGAACATCCTTCAAGGTATCCACTTCCCTCCCAAGTTAGCATCTTCTGGGCAGGTGGCTGGGGTTTTCCCACCCCTGATGTGAGGTCAGGGTGACTGTGTATGAGGCTGCCATCAGAGTCTGTGTGGTTTGTGCTGAAGCCTGAGACATTCCAGCAGCCCCACAGCCTTCGGCCCAGATCGAAGAACCTGCAAGACACCTCTGGCCCAGGAGGGGAGGTGTTGTTCAAGGTCTCAGGGCTAGGAGATAGGGGGAGGGGGGAGAAGGAGCACAGTCCCAGGTGTCTTGAATCCCAGACAGGGGCTTCTTCTGTTGTCCCCAGGGGCCGGGCAGGGAGAGGGGTGTTGTGAAAAAACCCTTGAGTGGACTCTGTTGGGCTCTTGTTCTAGGTGGGGTGGGGGAGGAGATGTGGCCTTGGTCTGGGTCCTGTGGCCTTGGTTTGGGACCAACAAAGTCCCAGTTAACTTCCTCTGTGCCCAGCTCCCTGGAGTCAAGGGGAAACCACCTTGGAAAGCCCCTGGGAGGTGGAGCAGTGTGGTGAGAGGTTAGCTGAAGGCTGGAAGCTCAGTCCCTGGGGGTGGAGGGTTTGGAGGAACCCAGAAGTGAAGGTGACTGAGGGGCTGGGGATTCCCCCTCCCCCTACCTCCATCTGGAATTCAAACCCTCATCATAATTCCTGCATCTAAACAAAGCTCCTCTTTGATGAAATAATTTCACACCTGTGATGTCATTTCATGGTGTGGTGGAAAGAGCCTAGAACCTGGAGTGAGGCAGAGCAGGGTTGGGCATCTCCTGGGGCTTCTTAGATGCACCCATGGCTCTAAGCCTCACCTTAACACACACTCAAGGCAGGCTGTGTGTTACCTGCTCAGATGATGGGGTGATCACATCAGGCAAACTGTCAAGTGCTAAGGAGTTTGTTGGGTTTGCCAAGACTGGGCTTGTTATTAATGGCTACCTTGTGGGGGACACTGAGGCTCAGAGAGGTGAAACCACTTGCTCAGGGTCTTTAAGTTTGCTTTGGGCACTGTGCGAGTGCCACCTGCATACCAGGTGCCCTGGAAGTTATACAGCTGGGCTAACTAGCAGCTTCGAACCTAAATATCTCATGAGCCACACGCAGTGGTAAGTCAGACACACCACACTAGTGTGAATCTGTTGTGCCCCCTAGTCAAGTGGCATTGGGCAGATCACTTCACTTCTCTGAGCCCTAGTTTCTTCTCTTTTAAAATTAAAATACCTCCTTTACCAGGTTGTTGTGAGGATTAAATGAGGTACAAATATATGGTGCCTGGCCAAATATCCATTTCCTTCCCTATGAAGAAAAGGAAGTGTGAATTTTGACCAGGAAGTCTGGGAAAATTCTCAAAGTTGCCTTAGATTAGCATGCAGGCTACTGTTGTAGGCTCAGAGACCTGAATTTGCTTAGCTCAAGCTCCTGTGTGGGTCAGTCAGACTCTCCTGTGCCACCTTCCCTAGTCTCATAGCCTTCTAGAATCCACTTGGGGACACAGGCAAGGGGCTCTGGATTCTGATACCTGCCCCCTACATTGGCCTCCTGCTGGGGGGGGCTGGGGGGGTTGGTGGTGTCCATTCCCTCTAGCCCATTGTCTGGCCGCGCTAGGCACAAAGGTGCAGTGAATAATTTATCGGTCCCCTCACTCTGGGAGGCCAGCTCCAGGAAATAGCTCTGTGCTCAGCTGGGCTTCTGAACCCCACCAGAGGAGGCGGATGGCTCCTGTCTGTGCTATTAGCAGTCTTGGAGTGTGTGTATGGGGGGGAGGGACAGGGAGAGAGTGACCTATTATCAACTCTGTCTGTGTCCTGTTGAGAGGCCAGATGGACCCCCAGGCAACAATGGGAACTAAGCTAGCTGAGCTAGGATCAAGTTGTGGGCCTCCGATTCCAAAGAGGTGGGGACGGGGAGGAGTAAGGGTGAGGATACAGGGTGGCAAGGGGTGGCAGGGGAGGCCCTTGAGGACCGGAGTAACCAGGAAGACTTCATCTGGGAGGTAGATGTCTGGACTGGAGTTAGAAGCGACTTGCTATAGAGAGGAGGGGTCCTGCCATCCATTCAGGTTGAATCCCGGCTGTGCCGCCTGCTCGCTGTGAGACTGTGGGCAAGACCGCTGACCCCGCCAGGCTCTGCTTCCTCCTCTGTAAAGTGAGGGTTGTCACACCCACTTCTGAGGGCTGTAAAACTCATGGCAGACACGTTCTCTGTAGAGGAGTGTTTCCTCGTGAACATGACCGTGGGGTGGGCTAGTGGCAGGGGGACACAGGATGGCGTGGAAAGCCGACAGGTGGGGAGAAAGCTGGCTGTGATACTGGGTTTGTGGCATTAGTGAGGGGCGAGGAGAAAAGCAGTGAGAGACCAGATGGCAGAGGGCCTTGAATGTCAGATGGAACTCACTTTTCAGAGAGCAGCATGAAGTCCCCATTCAGAACCTCTGTGGCACCTTACTGCCTGTAAGATGAAGCCCAGGCCACTAGTCATGGTGTTCAAGTCGTTGCCCACCTGCCAATCTGTCAAGGCCCAATTCAGGTCATAAATACCCCCCAAAACATTTCTGGTTTACCAAAGCCTCTGGTCATGTCATCTCTGAATCTAACACTTTACAGTAATAGTAATAAATGTTACCTATCATCCGCGACATTTTACAGTTTATAAAATACAATCCAACACTCATTTAATACTACAGTGATGATATGATCAATAGCTAATACTCTTGAGTACTTGTGAGCCAGACAATGTGCTAAGTGCTTTACAGACACTCTCATTCACACTAACTCTGGGAGGCAGCTACTGTTGTCTCCCAGAAACTGGGTCTCGGAGAGGGGCATTGTCTTGCCCAAGGTCACACAGCTAGACAGTGGGAGCAGGGAGTCAAGCGCACATCTGTTTGAATTGGAAATCTGTGTTTCTCTCTGCAACTGAACAGACAGCTAGACAGCTTTTAGGAGATGCCTATCTGCTCAACTCTGCCCAAGTACCTCGAAAGCATACTTTGTGTGTAAAAAGCCTGGACATGAGCCTTCTTCTCCAGGCTAAGGAATA